GGAGGGAGGGAGGGAGGGAGGGAGGGAGGGAGGGAGAGATACTTACAAATGGATGATGGAAGTGAATTTCAAGCAAGCAACCTCTTGACTTCTATTTCAATCTCCTAGACCCAGTGTGCTAAACCAATTATTTCCTTACCTTGGGAAATAGATTGTACCAAGGAGAGATTAACAAACTTCCGGTACTGAATGATATTACAAAATGAACAAAGAACTCTGTGAAGTTGTATTAAAAATAGATTAGGTATCACCAATAAGGGTTAAGAATTTAGGAGATTGTAGTGTCTAGAAGTGAGAGATAGGGGAGAAGAGACAGAGTGGTGTAGTGGTTAAGGCATAAGGCTAGAAACTGGGAAGCTGTTGGTTCTAATCCTGCCTGAGGCACAAAGAAAGCTGGGTGAATTTGGGCCAGTCCCTCTCTCTCAATCCCAGGAAGAAGGCTGCAAGGGAAAACCACTTCTGAAATCCTGCCAAGAAAACTGCAGGGACTTGTCCAGGCAATTGCCAGGAGTCAACGCTGACTTGAAAGCACTAAAAATAAAATAAGTGTCTGAAAAACAAAGACAGCTCCATTTATATAACGCATTACAGTAAACTTAGCTGGAGGTTATCTGAGTTAAACTATTCCTCTTCAGATGGGGCTGCAACCAATACAGCAATTTTAGCCAGTGGAGAATATCTACCATAGTGTGCAGTAACAAAAAAATCCTTATTCCCTATGAATGCTTGAGATACACATCATACCTTACTGTTCAGTTGCAAAATGTTTTTCTTTAAGTGAACCTGTTAATCTTACATGTCTGGTTTACATCAACGTCTTTATGTTATCGCATATTTTGAATATTAAACTATGCTGTTTTAAATATCAATAACTGCTTTTGTTCATTTGAAATTAATACATTGCATTAAAGTTTTTGTTATTTAAATAGGCTGAAGAGAAGGTTAGTGCAGGATTTTAAATATGTAAAATGTGACTACAATTACGAGTACAGTATTGATATTCTTTCTACTCTGCTTGGAGTATTTGCATGTGGAAGCACATGATAGAGGCATAGGGTATGAAGAGAGAGTTTTCTAGTTAGATAGATCTGGTTGTATACTGTAGTAGTTAGAAGGCAGAAAGGTTTGTTGGGATTTTTGCCACTGTAGAGTCTTCTAAATTCATTTGTAGTTGAAGTTTCAGTGATTTACTATCAGATTCATCTGGTTATAGGCTGCAATTTTCTTAGGAAAAGCATCATTAAGTATATTATTCAGTTCTGGGTACCAGTACCTAATGTACTTTCATATAACTACACTGTCTTCCCCCTAGAATCCTAGAGTGATATATAGGCAGTCCTCAACTTATTACAATTCATTTAGTGACCATTCAAAGTTACAATAGCACTGAAAAAAATGACAAGACCTTTTTTCATACTTATGACTGTTGCAGCATCTCCACGGTCACGTGATCAAAAATGAGTCACATTGGCTCATATCTATGATGGCTGCAATGCCCTGGGATCATGTGATCATATTTTGGGACCTTTCGACAAGCAAAGTCAATGGGGAAGGCAGATCCACTGAACAGCCGGGTTATTAACTTAACAATTGCAATGATTCACTTAACAACTGTGACAAGAAAAGTCGTAAAATGGGGCAAAACTCATTTAACAAATGTCTCACTTAGCAACATCTTGGGCTCAATTACGGTCATAAGTCAAGACTACCTGTATTGTCATTTGATGATCATGATGATTCTAAGCGTCTTCATGGGTTTTGTGATTAAATGAGGTGCCTTTACTTGTTTGGTACTAAAAGTGAAACAAAAACCTAGATTGTGGTCAACCACACAGTGCCAGCAGTTCCTCAGTGCTGTATTCTCAGCACCTTTGGGAGGGCTCAGTGGTTAGAGGAGACTAAACTTACGTTAGGCTCTGAAGAACAGCAAGCATGCATGTTGCAACCGTTCACATTTGAAAGAGATTTGGGGTGGAGAAGACACTCCATTCTTTTTGTTTGCAAATTATTCATAATACAGGGAGTCTAGAATTCATAGTACAGGGAATCTAGAATCTGTAATTATATTCCACTTTTTGGTCTTGGGTCAGAGTCTTTGGTCTTGGGCAAATTAATTGTTTTTTTAATACAGTACTGCACATCACGTTTTCTCAGGTAGCAGTGTGTAGGTTTAAAAGATGATTCAGTTCCAATGTGAAGTCCTTCCGTGTGGTACTTTCAGTCTAGAATTATAGATATTGAGGTAGCCATAATGATCCTCAGGTGTCAAATTGTGTTGTGGTCCACCAGCGGCCTGCAGAGGTGGCAGCAGAGTCGGACAGTGAGGAGGTTGGGGAAGAGTGTGGATCAGTCCTGGAGTCTGGGGAAGGCTTGGACGAGGGTTCTGCGTCAGAGGCAGAGAGGGGGCCAAGGACATCTGCTAGTTATTTGCTGCCTCTGGAGCCTTTGGAGTCTGACATCAGCGAGGCAGAGGAACAGCGGGAGCCTCTTCCCAATGTGTGCATGCGTAGAACTGCCAGAAGGCAAGAACAATTAAGAAAACAGGGTTGACTCGAGAGCAAGGCTTGGAGATGATTGGCCCCTCCCATAAGACATAAAAGAGGAGCGAACGGGACATGAGCCTTTGCAGAAAGCAATTAGTTCAACTGGTCAGTTCAAGCTTTGAGAAGTTCTGTTTGACTCTGTGCTGAGTTTGGCCTTGCTNGGGCAGGGATGATGGGCATGGGAGTAGGGGGAAGAAAGGCCCCTCTCCATGGCTCCCTGTCAGACAAACGCTTCACCTCCAGGTTATCAGGTAATAGAAAATATAAATAAAGGGCAATACTTACATCATCCTTGTCATTAACAGGCACTCCCAGACTTAGCAAAAAGTCAACAATATCCAAATGACCAGCTGAACAGGCCCAATGTAGAGCTGTCCTATTGTCCTGAATGGGAAAGACAAGATTATGTCAACGAACTTTTTGTTTACAGACACAAAGATACAGCAAGGGGAACAGGATGGTCCTATGAAGAGACCATATCATCCTTCAAAACAGCTTCTCCTACTTAAAACCCTCCAAATAAGTGAACTTCAGTTCCCAGAATTCCCCAAACTGCATGGTCTTTATTGAGAATTCTGGTGCCGAACCTTTTATCTGGAAGTTGGCCAGCTAGAGGAAGTTTTCTTTCTATAGGTCACTCTTTTCAAAGCCACACTTTAGACTAAAGCTGCTGCTCTTTAAGAAGTATTTAAGAATGCAATGGTTAGATTGCAGTAGGGCAGGCTAACTCACTGCTCACTTCAGGAGTTCGATTCTGAGTGGCTCCATGTTGACTCAGCCTTCCATCCTTCCGAGGTGGGTAAAATGAGGACTCAGATTGTTGGGGGAAAGATGCCAACTCTCTAAACTGCATAGAGGGCTGTAAAAGCACTGTGAAGCAGTATATAAGCCTAAATGCTAGTTCTATCTCAAGCAAGCCAATATGTACAAATTCTATTATTGCATTTTGCACATAAAATCCCAAAGAAACTACCTTTCATTTGAGAATGCTGATCTTGAACATTTATTGTAATGAAAATTTTGTGGGGGAAATGGTATTTCCAGGAGGAATGGCTGTGGTTTTGTCAATATGCTACAGAAAGATTCTTCTGTAGAAGATTAGTCTATGCAACAGTGAAAACATTGGATCTAAAGTTGATAAACCTAGCAGTTTTGGAAGTAAATGGGACTAACCCCAAACAATGGGGTAATTACCAAAAGAAATATTCACAGGCTATATACATAGCCCATCAGATGCAAGGAATTACATGGCAAGTTGGTCAACTTTACAGGTACAATATACCTACTAGTGTATAATAATCCTGCACGTCTCTTTTAAAATATCAATTAATCAAGGTGCCACAAGATGTCCATTTTTAGGAAAGCGGCTAAAAGCCAAGCATAGAGCAGATTTGCTAAGTGACGGGAGCTCACTCCTTAGGGATTCGAATTGCTGACATTTCTGATCGACATCTTCAACATCTTAGCCACTGAGGTCCTTTCTATTATTGCTAAAAAGAAAACTGGTTTGTTGAATAAGCCATAATACAAAACCTCTTTCAAACGAGACCCTGTATGCCTGATCCGGGCTTAATGGACCAAATGTGTGGCACGGAAGCCATGTTTAAGCCGTGCAAAACAAGCTAATAGAGGGTCTGCTGGACAAGCCAGGATCCAATAAACCAGGGGTCTTCAAAGTTAGCCCCTTTAAGACTGGTGGACTTCAACTCCCAGAATTCCCCAGCCCACCTGGCCGGGGAATTCTGGGAGTTGATGTCCACCAGTCTTAAAGGGGCCAAATTTTGGAGACCCCCTGCAACAAACCAATGGTTTGAAGTGTGTCAAGGCCACCAAGACCGGCCACGTTCTCTCCCGCTTGCCGGACCAACCTGATCGGCGCGTGTCGCCAGGCTCCGGTTGGCGTGCAGCCGCTCCTTGACCTCCTCCAGCTGCCCCGCGTAAGCCAAGTTACACAGCTCCACGTTGGACACGGAACCTCCGCCGCCCTGTCCCTCCATCCCTGAAGGTTCCTCCCAGCGCGCGCCTGCGCAAACTCCACGACGCTAGAGTGGGGTGGAGCCGACCGTCCCCGCTCCATCAATCCAGAGGGGCGATCGCCAGACAACCGACCAATAGACGCGGCGTTCCCACCCACCCCGTCCAGCTCCTCCCACTTCCCCGAACGTGGGCTTCCCTCGCGCGCAGGCGCCGCAGGAAGCACCCGAGGGGCTGATGGGAATTGGAGTGCACGGAGCCGGGAGAGGTGCAGAGGAGGGCGCAGGGGCGCGCGATGGGAGACCACAACTCCCGGCGTGCGCTGCGCGGGCGGAGACAGCCGTCACCGTGTTGTTTTCCGCGAGGAGGAGGAGGAGGAGGAGGGAGGGAGGGAGGGGGAGGAGGAGGAGGCTGGGCGCCGCCGCCGCCGCCTGAGGGAAAGAAAGGAAGCGGCGGCCGAAGGAGGCGGCGGCGCGGAGATGAGAGGATGGTGGCGGCGGTGACGCGGAAGGAGGATGGAGTCTGGTGAGNAAAATTATCAAAGGCTGACTGGTCCGCGGCGATAAAAAGGTTGGGGACCACTGGATTAAACCACACTATGATTTAATATGGCTCTGATATGAATCTAAATTCACAGTAAAGGCTGAAAGAAAAGAGCATTGTGGTACTCTTGACTACAGATAGCATAGACATTAGATATTTATAACATTGACATAATCACAGTATATATTATACTCCACATACATACTGAAAAAATAATTTTATTTGAGAGAATGCCTTATGTGAATAGAAGAACTGATTTTTCCCTACAATTAATGCACTAGAAAGCCAATTCACAATTGTCTACTGGTTGTTTATTAATATTTTTAGTTTTTAAGTTATTTGTTCTTTATGTTTCTCTTGATTTCATCATTAAATATAACATACATAGGAACAGTGCAAAATGCTCCATTTAGTGAATTATTCATTGAAAACCCAATATTTCTTTCTAGCACTGGAATGTAAGAATAAATTATCATATACAAGAATAATATATTAGAATCAGAGCCCCTAGGCATAGCCAATTCATATCATTTCTAAGACTTACTTAACTGTAATCCCTAAAAAGAATATTTCCTCCATCTCAATCTAACATGACAAACTTCAGCCAGATGCTCACAAGGTGAGAAGATAGATTAGATGAGCTAATAGTAGGGATAAAGGGATGAGGCTCTGATATGAAATGTTACTTGTTTCTTCTATATTTTAAAATAAATAGCTATGTTTTTTGATGCCATTTGTGATATTTATGCACATTGAAAATTTATTCTAAATAAACCTAAACCAATCAGTTGTCCCTAAACAGAATCAACTCTGCTCAGAATGGATATCATGTTGGAGCTGCTTTCTATACATGGTTTGTACCTTTCACCCCCACAAAAGAGGTAGTAACCCTAATCCACCCCACCAAAGAATTACATTTGGACTCAGATTTTTCACAGCTAAACATTAATGCCTCCTCCATAGAAGAATGAATTGGGTCTATTTGCCTTCTTCTATCATTATTTTCTTTCTTTCTTTAAAAAAAATTCCTCTCTATACTGTTTATCAAGTGGTTTAGAGGTTTAGAGGTTTTATTCAACTTGTATGCCGCCCTATTCCCGAGGGACTCAGGGCNTCCAGGGGAAGGATACTGCAAAATCTTTATTCCCTCCCCAGTTCTCTGAACTGCTCAAAATTTCCGCTACCGGTTCTCCAGAATTGGTCAGAACCTGTTGAATACTACCTCTGGGCTGGAGGTTCTTTCTGTTTGACCTCTCAAGGGGTAGATTTCCACTCCCAGAATCCCCCAGCCGGGATGGCTATGCTGAGCATGATGGGAGCTGAATATCGAGAGATCTGCGCTTGGACTGTCTCACCCTTCTGCCCACCCAAAGTTTAGCTAAATTACTCAGACACGGGTTAATATTTTCAGGCAGTTTTGATCCTGAAACTTTTGAGAGATACACAAATGTAATATTACAATAAATTTCCATTTAACAGGCAAATGTCATTTTCTGACATTCTTTATTTTTTGTCTGTTTCTGTTCCTGATCCACACAGCGCAGATGGGTGTTGGTGAAGGGAAATCTATTGGGGAATGGTTCGGACCAAATACTGTTGCCCAAGTACTCAAGTAAGGCAGCATGTGCATTCTGCAATAGGGGTGTGGGATTTATACAGGTCGTCCTCACTTAATGACTGTTGAAAGTTAGACCCCCCAAAAGATACTTGTGACTCGCTCTCAGAGTTACAACTGCTACACTCCTGTCTCCACGGTCACGATTGCATTTGGGGCACCTGTCCACTGTGTCACATTTATAACCAGTTGCAGCATTCTGTGGTCATGTGATTTATTTGAGATGCTTTTGGGGCAATTTCTGGCATTTTTTAGCTGGGCCAGTGGATTCGTTTAACAACCATGTGATTCAGTTAACTGTGATGACTTGCTTTCTGGCCATTAGAAACATGGTTGTAAAATCAAGCCAGGTCACATTGTGAACTACTTAACAACCACAATACTTGCAACTGGAATTCCATCCTCAGTTGTCATTAAGTGAGAACTCCCTGTAGTTGTAGAGAAAAAGACTTTGGTCCAATGGCTGAAGGACACAAAGACAGCTTAATTTCTTGTGCTTGCATTTGATTCTTTAGTCATCAGCCCATCCTCCCCATCAGCCGGGAGGAGCGGGGGCCATGGGGGTGGTTGAGGGGACTAGAGACACGGGAGAGGGTCGGGGTATTACGGTC